TGTAGGAAGATATCCATGGCGGCGCTTGAATGCGTTCATGGTCTGTTTTAAACATGGTGATGAGATGGTGGTGTAGTCGTGATCGTGATCGTGGTGGTGGTGGTAATGATGGCTACCGTTCGTGCTCGTCCTACAGGAGTACGGCAACGGTGCGGAGGTGCCTCTGCCCCTCCGCCTGGGCGCCCTTACGACCATCTCATGTGCCGTGGGAGCAGCCCCGAGGTACGGCTGTTAGTATGTGACCATCATACCGCTGGGCAGTGCACACACCCTGCGGGTGCCTGGGAGCGATGCCTTCAGACGGCTGCAGTAGAGCTTCTACTTCCCAAACCTTCCCCCTTTGGGGCGTCGGCACAGTTGCTATCCTTAAACTTTGCAGATGATTCCGCAACCTTTCCGGGTTTGAGCTGGAATGGAATGCACACAGCGCCTTTTCGTTCGAACGATTAGTCGTACCTCGTACCTGGTGCGGGTGGTGTGCTGAGGAGTGGATCCAACTTCGTTCTCGTTGCCCCCGGCAGCACGCGCCTCTTCCGGACCCGCTCCTGCATCCGAGCTCCATCCGTCTTGGATATTCTCCCGGCGGGCTAGTAAACGGCATTGCATTGGACGTGTCGGCGGTTGGCCCTTGCTTGCTTCTCCTCGCACCATCCTGTAACGTCCCTTCATCCATCTATCCAATCGCCCACCCGCCGACCTTAGGGCCGCTCGAGGCAACGTCTACCGCAAGTCTCGCCTGCCTGCGCAACCGTTGGTGTTTTGGGGCTATGAGATGAGTCCCTTCGTCAAGCTGGCTAGGGAGGTGAGCAGGGTGGCTTAGGCGCTAGGGGTCGACAAGGTGAAGAGTGATCCAGTGCGCGCGAGAGGAGATGTGCGGACACCGGGGGAGGCTGCTCGGGGGCGCGCCTGCCGCCTGTGGCTTTGGTTGCGGACTATCCCTTCTGATCTTTCGTTGCCAGCAGTTAAGTGAGGAAAGTGCTCCTGGCTATCGGCACCCTCTGGACAGATAGACAGACAGACAGACAGACAGACACGGTGTGTTTTTTTGAGGGGGAAGAGATCCATTTATCGTGATACTGATGCCCGTGACCGATATGTGCCGTATGGCAGGTCCTGTGCGAGCTGGAGCTGCCGTACCTGTACCGCACCGCGGCACGTGGCAGCCCGAAGCGTCAAGAGCTCCTGGACAAGCGCGGCGTGTTCCAGGCACGTGGGGGTCGTGTGTGCACGGTGATGATGGTAAATGATGTATGTACAATCAGATGTGCTATGATGGGTTATGCTGTGTGTTATAATACACGGTGTGGTTGCGCGCGTTGTCTTTGGACAGAAACCTCTCAACATCACATTAAAATGCGTTTGGAAGAGGTGTCACAACGGAAGGCATGTTGGCGTGTGTTATTGGTTAGCGTCGCGGGCTTGGAAATCGTGGCTGTTACAGCGGTTGCGTGGGCTGGGGGAGCTTATCGCCAGCCGTGGTTGGGCCTTATGGGGCTCCTCCTTCCCTGGCCCCATTCGGGCCTTTTGTGGGGTTTACCTCCTCTGACGTTAAGCAGTACCCTCGGACGGCGTGGAGAAAGGCATATTTTTGTTTTGCTGCTCGTGGGGTTGCCGCACGCAGGTGCCGTACCTAGAGGACCCGAATGAGGGCGTCTACCTGTTCGAGTCGTCCGCCATTGTCCAGTACTTGAACGACACGTACGGCGTCAAGGCCTGAGTGCGACGCCGTGCTGCTGCCCATCCTTTCCATCCTGGACAGTGGTGTATGTGTGTGTGCATGTGTGTGTGTGTGTGTATGCCGTGCATGTGATTCTCGCACTGCTGCTGAGATTCTGAGAGTCGAGTTATATATATCCTCTTCGCTAATATCCTTTTAATACCACGGGCAAATTTGCCTCTTGAGTATTTCATTAAAGGCGCAAGGGCGATTGTTACACATGCCGCCCTGTTCGGTCGCGAGGGCGCTGTCGCCGCCTCATTACGACCGCAATGGTGCCGAAATGTACAGCATGCCCAGCGGGGCCCAAAGCTGTGCTGACGCACACACACCCAGCACGACATACGGTGGGCTGTGCAACCCGTGTGGCCCCGATGCCCAGCGTTCCGGCCCCCCGGCTTTGCCCATGGGTGTGGCCAATATCACTGATCTCCCGACGCAACGCGCACCAAGGAGCCGCAATACGAATGCGACGGCAAGGTTGCGACGGTCCGCGCGCGGAATTTGAAGGCGACAGGAGGGAGCTGGCGTATTCAACAGCATCCTTAGTGGTGTTGTGACCCCCGCTGTTGGGCACGGTTGTGTCAATCGCAGTCGGTTGTCGCTGGTTATGTCAATGGCAGTCGGAATGTTGGATTATGAGGCGGGACATCGTGCGCGTTGTGCATCCCGCAGGGAGCCGTTCCAGCTTCTTGATTCGACCAACCAAGTTATAGCTTATATTCTTTCGCCGCGCATCTCTTGCTCGTGGTTCATGTGCGGCGGGTTTTAATTGCTGCAGGCAGAATGTGCGGCTGTGGCGCCTTGGTGATGTGAAGAAAAAGTCGGGGTCCGCCAGTGTACGATTAACGCGCTTGAGTGGTGCCGAGGTCAATACACCTATTTGATGTGCCAGGCATATTTGATAGATTCCGACATGCGCCCTACTGGTTTGTCTAGAGAGTCTATTGAACTTTGCTGTCATTGTTGTTGTTGTCATTGAAGCCTTGTACATATGCGGTGACGTGTGCGCTGCTACACCAGTGCGTGAGGCTAAGCGCCTCTCGCGTTTTTCCTCACACGACACCTTAGGGGTCCCAGGGGAGCCGTACTGTGACCCCGCATACGAGGCCACGACAGGGCCACGACAGGAACGGCTGAGTCCAGAAGTAAACGAGTGAGAGCAAGCCGTCCTGGGGAGAGGAGGCAAGTGGGGAGTTCAGAGCTTCGCCTTGACTTTATCACCCATCAGGATTAGCAAAATAGTCACGCAACAACAGTTAAAAATACATGGTGTACGCACAACTCCGAAAGCCGAAGAAAGTAGTGTCTCTGTATCCTTTGTATGGGGTAGGTTGATTTCTTTGTCAACCGGTAGCATGTCAAGCCAGTGATGCGGGTTGGTTCCTTGTCCCCCATGGTAATGTTTGTTAATCCTAACGAACAAAATGGGGCTGTAGGGTATTTTGTTCGGAAGCTACCCGGTTGCTGTGCTGGTGGGGCTAGGGTGTACCGTTGCAACTGATAACCGGAACTAATGTTTTATGCTGGACAAAGCTGTTGTCGCGCTTTGCACAATAAGCTACTAATGGCGTTACTTCCAAGAAGTCAGCCTCACTATTCAACAAGGGTTCTGTTTCTGTCGCAAGGAGGGTTGCAGGTGTTGCTAATAAAGGCAACAAACGCAGCCGCAAACGAACGAGCCGCCGGTATCGACACAACAACACAAACACACATCTCCTGCTGCCCGCACACGCACGCCCGCACACGCACAAACACAAGGTGCGGAGCTCAACCCCGCCCCAACCACCCAAGCTACGGTACGCGACACCGCTAAGCTTCCATGTAAACTCTCCCCTTGCGACCCAGCCGCGCGGCGAATGCTGTAGCTGAAGGGCTCGTCAGGTGCCTGTGATGCCATCACAGTCCCACCACAGGTTACGGGATTATGATAAAATCTGCTCCGCTAATCCTTGCTTGTATATTGAGCACTACAATTGCTTTTACCAGCGCTTCTACACAAAAATCATGCTTCTACCGCTATGAACGTTTCTGACTCTGAAAATGCACCACGCCCTCACAACGCCCCTTCGTTACTCTCACCCCTCGCGCAGCGGACAGTAAACGGGACAACAACAACAACAACAACAACATCGCCAACCGTCGCCGTGGCCGCTTTCCTCCCGTCCGCACCCCTTATGTCTCCGCAGTCGCACATTGGGAACCATTCCGCCCGCCACGGGAACCGTTCCCCACGCCGCTCTCCTTCCTGCCTTACCCCCTCCGTGTCTCCTCGTTCATACTCCTCTCCCTCTACCCCCTTGCCTCACCTTCCCCTCTCCTCCTCCTCCTCCTCCCCCCTCCTCCTCCTCCCCCCTCCCTTAGCCCTAGCCCTAGCCTAGCCCTAACCCGCCAGCAGCACCTCCGGGGTCCAGTTGGTGGTGGTGGCCACTGCGTTGTTAGTTTGGGGGTCCCGGGCGAGTAAGGTAATCTCAGTGCCGCCAAACCGCAGCTCCACCTGATCCGTTCAGAGTGGGGAGGGGGCGCAGGAAAAGGCAAGCGGGGAGTACGACGACGAGGAGAAGCGGATATATACGGCGAATCGGCGCAGCTTTGAGGAGCAGGAACGCTGGGTCGCGTACAGTGCATGTGTGTCGGATGCACAGTTTATTCTAACGCTCAATGTCTGAATTTCTATAATGTTTGGTTTCACCCCTAGCGTACTGACTAGATGTAGTGTACACGCGTACAGCTGTACAGACAGACGCACGCAGGCCTGTGCACGCACCTCAATGTCGTAATCCTGGCGTCGTTGTACGGTGCTCGTCCAGCCCGGCGGCAGCTCCATTATCACAGTCGCCACCTTGCGCATGCCCGGCTCGGCGGTGTAGCGCGCGTCCTCGTTTTCGGTTGTGAACAGATCAATCCCAACCGCTGTCGTACCCCTGGTGCGCGGTTTGTTAGGCGGTTCGTGACACAATGCAATCGGAGGGGGCCAGGGACTGCACAGGGAAGGTGGAAATTACCGTTACGTCTTCCACAACATTCTTTTTTCCGAAATGTGTGTTGTGTCGATATTCACAACATTATGGTGTCACCTAATAGAGGCGCTTAAGGGATAGAAATAGAGAGCCTGAAACCTCGTAGAGATGAACCCTTGACACCCATCCAGGAAGGTGAAAACGTACGTACTTGCTGGTAGGGCAGAAGATCCGTCGTACAACCTCGTCCTGCTGAATCAGTTGGTTACGCCGTACATACAGCTCGAAGACGCCATCTAGGGGGAGTTGAGAATTGGGCAGTTTGAAAGTTCAGGTAGCTTAGAGATCGCAAAACTAAACTAAGAAAATCGCAACGCTAAAATGCTTCAAGAGCAAACAGCGTTATGAAGGAAGTATCAATCAATGAATCAGGACGCTATCCCGTAGGATGGCGCTAACGTTACGTGCATGTGGCTCTGGACAACACACGCACATACTTTAAATAATTACATGCTCGCCAGTTCATACAGCTGTTGTGTACGGCAGTACGAGGTGCCTACCCGCCACGTATTCGCGTTCCTCCTCCTTCCACAGTTTGCTGGGGTAGCCAAAGAGAGTGTGGCTGGCGGCGTCCTCAGCCGTCCACAAAGACCGACATGAGATGCCGTACGTCTGGCGGCAGCGGCGTGCCGTCACCAGCGACGGGTACTGGCCAAACAGTACGGCACCTTTGGATCGTAATCCACAAGGGTCGGAGGGGAGGAGCGTACAACACGAAAACCAACGAACGCAAAAACCAGTTTCTACGTGTTGAGGAAGAGAAAGAGGGAAAGACCCATCCTCACCCTCCCGCGCCCTTGAGGACTACTGCGGCCAGGACGCTGCCGCTCAACGAGTTGTGGCAATGCTCTTCATAATTGGCAGTCACGTATTCTTGCCCCAGAACTCCCAAGCCTTGCCTTTCCCCCGAAAAATACCCTTCACTCAATGCGGCGCAAACAAGGCGCATGGCGTGTGTGGCACACGTACGGCATGTACGGCACCGCACAAGACACCATCCGGACTACATACATGCGAACCCATAAATCACGCACCGCAGTGTTTACTTTCCTTCTGGACAAACGCACACAGCACGTAGAAGGACAGACAGACAGACAGACAGACAGACAGACAGACAAACAGACAGACAGGCAGACAGACAGGTGTATAGAAAGGTACGCACACGCACTCGCATGCACCCCTCCCACCCCAGGGGGTGGTACTCACCAGACGCAACCAGCGCCTGCGGCTGCCTAGGCATCAACAGCGGCACTCGCTGTTCCTGCGACAGCTGCCGTACACGCTGTTGTACGTACGGCGAGTTGGCCAAGCCGCCCACAAGAAGCATCTGCGCGCACGCACCACATCATCATCCGTGTCTTAATCTCTTTTGGCTAGGGGTTTGTTTACTGAAAAGCGGCAGACCAACGGAGAGAGCTCGTCAAACACGGCCGCACGTTACCTTGCTGCAGGGACAGCCCGCATGCTGCCCCTGCTCCAGGACGTCGACAGCCGCCGCCAAAATCTGATCTACCACAGGCCCGTAGATCCGCCTCTCCAGCACCCCCTCGCACAGCACCACACTGCCGTCAGCGGGCAGATCCGCCGCCATCAGGCCACCGACGTCCATCGCCTCCGCCGCGGGGGTACGGCAGCCGCCGCCGCCGCTGCCGCCGTCGATGTCGGTGGAGGAAGTAGCTGCGATGTCAGCATCGGGCGTGGATGCGGTGGCGGCGCTGCCGCTGCCGCCGCCGCTAGCGCGCCGCTCCCGCCGCCTGATCTCCGCCGCCAGCTCCAGGAGGTGAGGTCTCAGTTGCAGCGTCAGAGGCCCCCGGGGCTGCCGCTTGGCAGCCTCCCACCTACCGCCCCGGTGCGCGTCCAGGCGTGGGGTGATGACGGACACGTTCCATAAGTGGAACAGTATACAGAAACAATGTAGAGGACGTGCGACGTGGGGTCGTAACGCTATGTGGAGAGATGCACGGGCCATGCGTGTTTTAAAGCTCTCAACTCCACAGCTCTCGTAACCCCCACTCCCCGCCGCCCCCTTACTCTTTGGAGCCCCCATCCCGGCCCCCGGCTCGCACCCTCGTACGGCCGCCCGGTGAACTTACTCAGTCGCGGCCTCCATCCATTCAGTCGGATGGCGCTCGCGCCAGGTGTCCCACGCGGTTGGACCCACCATTGCGCGCAGGTGCTGCCACAGCGCCTCGTCCACGTAACGCCCGCCCGCCAGCACACCTGCGAGAGAGTGCGACGTCCGCCGGGGTTACCACTACATACATACATGGTACCAAATTTCAATAGCGAGATGGGCAGTCGGCCGATCACTCAAATTTGGCTGTCATCACCACCCTCGCCCCCACCATCCGGCACTAGTACACACACATACATACACACACACGCGCGCTGATGCACCCCGCTAAGGCATGTGCATCACCGTCGCAAATCTTCAGACATTACGAACCGTAGGAGGATCCCTCCTCCCCGGGGGGGACAGATCGACCCCGCAGCCGCCATTCAGCACCACCACTGCTGTCCAGGACAGCCGTCCTGCCGTACAGCCGCTTATCGTACCTTTACCCGCCGCCGCTTCCTGCAGCCGTACATTCGTCCCAGAGCCCACCACCTTGTGCATCGTGATGTCTGCCGTACCGCCGCCACAATCCAGCACTAACAATACATCTCCGTCCCGGAGAGCAGCCGCCGCAGCGGACGATGATACCGATGCCCCGCCCCGCACTGCTGCCAAGGCGCTACTGCCGTCGCCGCCGCCGGCGGTGTGCTCCGACACTTCCCTTAGCTCCGCCGCCCTGGCAGCAGCGTCGCTGGCGGCAGTGACGGCTGCGGCAGCGGCGCTGCGGCGAGCACTGTTGCGCTGCTGTTGGTGCAGTACGGCAGCTGCAGCCGCCGCCTCCGGCTCCAGAACCATGGACAAGGATCCGGGGTCAGATGCGCGGGCCATGCCTTCGCAACAAAATAACCGAAAAGCACGCGACGGGAGAAAAAATTATAAAATTTCAACAACGAAATTTTTTTACCAGAAACCAACGGGATCGCAACAACCGTAACTGGACCAGCAAAAACAAAGGAAATCGACGTCAATATTAACAACAAATTAACAACAAAATAACAACGAACAACAGCAACAAAACAAATGCGGCGCAGGAGCAGCGCCTTTAAGAATGGTGGTTTTAAAGTTCAGAAACCCTCCTTTCCCTCTTTTCCCCCTCTCCGGGGTTAGGGTTCTAGAGTTTGAGAGCCGGAGGCGGTACGTCCTGGGGCATGGAGTCCAGTACCCCAATCCAGGTTAGCGGTGCACCCAGGGCACTTCCTCATCTCCGACCGCCCTCTCGGCCCTCACCAGCCCGATTAGCCGCCTGCCGCATCTTGGCCTTGGTCGCCTCGTCCCACATGGCAGGGACGGTCAGGCACCAGGAGATGGAGGAGGGCTCCAGGGGGGGCCCCGCCGGCCCGCCTGCCGCAGCCGCGTCCATTCTGGCGAGGTGCTTGAATATGTAGCTGCATGGTAAAGGTCGGAAACAGCAGTTTTCATTTAAAAAGGAGAGGAGGGTTGCTCACGCCCAAAAATTCAAAGAAACAAATGCTGCCGAAGTTCAAAGTGTCCAATCCCTAAGTGTGGTGTGTAAGGCGGGGGGAAGGGGCATAGGAGCGGTACATGGGGAGGTGCATGCAGACCAGCGTCGCGGTGAATGGCACGGCAATACCGTTTTACATACCGTTACAGGAGAACCGTCAGAACCGTTTTTGTTTTTCTGCTCCTAAAGAAGGATACTCCTATGCTCCCTTATGTCCTCTCATGTCCTGGAGCATCCCGATACACCTTGCCACACACCGAAACCTAATCCCCAATGTACGCTACGGTATTTAAACTTCATACAGCGCTATCGTACACCGCCGTACATATCTCGTACGGCAACATCACGCCCTGCCGTACACACACCCTCGCAGCTCCGCCAAGAAGTCCGCGACGACCTGCACCGCCGTCAACCCTGGGGGTAGCAGCACCTGCTGCTGCTGGGACGGCTGTAGCGCCTCTTGCTGCAGCAGTAGCTTGAACTCCTCGATGTAGTAGTACTTGCCGTCCCGGCGCTCTTGATCAGTCATTTGGGACCACCTGCGCCAGGCCGTCCAGCCCCAGGCCTCCTGCAAAGGGAACAATTCTCTTTCTGGATATTTTGTAAAATTCAACGCAAAACCATCTCCGGAGGTTTTGCTTATACTTGATTTTCTTATTCATGAGTTTACAATGGGTACAAAGTGTAACAAGTTCATGTAAGCCCTTCCACGTTTATACAGACCCGTGGGTCGTTTTGCCGCATCTCCCCAACGGGACCGGACTAGTAGGTACCAAACCGCGCCGCAAGGAAGAACCCGCACGTGGGACCTCTTTATCCTACACTCTTTAGCAGTGTGTGGTTGGAGACCCGGTCTTAGCTATGGAGTGCGAGCCTATGCGCACCAGCTTAGTGCCCCGGTAAAGGCATACGGTGCGCGTTTTGAAGTCCTGAGAGGGCTGGTCAGGCCAGTTGTGGTGCAGTTTGACAGGCGCGGCTGCCGCCATGTCCGCCGCCCCACGCCGGTTACTGCCCTGGACCGGCACGACGTCCTGTCGGCCCCATTCAGTCGTCTTGATGCCGCCGCTGGTGATGCTGGTCGTGCTGCTGCTGCTGCTTTCAGTGTTATTGTTGGAATTTATGACCACCTTGCTGTATCCAAAGCCAGAAGCGTACGTCCCGAAATCAACGCCGACGGTCCATTGCTTTCGCGCTCGGCTGGCGGCGGCGGCGGCGGCAGCAGCAGCAGCAGAAGTAGCGGCTGATAGGTCATGGCCATCGATGGGGTTGTGCTGTGGCGGAGAGGGTGAGTTGTGAGGAGATGGTATGGGCGTGGGGGAGGATGCGGCCAGGGGTTTGGGGCGGTAGCTGAATCTGCAGCGCCAGGAGGCTGGGCGGCAAGTTGGCAGGTGTCGCAGGCAGGGAGCATCGCGAGGGCCTGGGACACGGCCCGTATAGCATCGGTTGTCAATCGTCGACAGGGGCCCCATCCTCGGACGGTCGGATAGAGCGCCTTTATTATCCGGCCACGGCGCAGGGAGAGGAAACAACGAGAAAAAAAGATAGTGGGAGCTGGCAGTCAAGACTAGAATTTTGTTTATGAGCGCGTCAGCCCTGATAGGCTCTTATCGTCGTTCGTTTGCAGCCAAGTAACTCGCGTAACGCGGGGGTTTGCAGGCTGATGGAAATGATAAAAGGGTTACGTGTGTGGGCTGCTAAATTAACGCGCATGTATGTCTCGTAGAGCAAAGCAGTGATTTATCAGGAAAGGTGAGATCATGCCGCGTAAGCAAAAATGACTGCTTCCTCGTACTGCTGCTGCGAGACACCGGGAGCAAGAAGCTTTCGCGAGGAACAACTATTTGCGCTGAAACGTAACGCACCGAAGTCTGGATTTCATGAAGGAAATAATTACTCGTAAGTTTTACATCACACGCGGTGGGTACGAATGGTAACTGGGTCAAAAAAAACGCGCTGAAACTATTGCTGAGCGCTCCCTGCGCGCTTCCCCAGCAGGCGAGCACAACACCGTCGCGGCTAATGCAGCTCATCCATGGCCACAGCCGTGCTCGGCGGCTGGCATGCTCTCGGGGGCGCCTAAACGTACCAAAGCAGACATGTTAATCTTCCCCCACAGGACGGGAGGGGCAACAGGGGCAACTGGTGACCAAGATAAAGTGAAGGTGGTTTGGGACAGCAGCTTGCCATGCCAGCTTAAGGAAAAGCTAGCCATTGGAAGCCGTTGGACCATTGGACCCTTTGAAGTACTTGGTCGCTTCTTTGGCCGTTTAGACGTTGTACGACGGAAAACATGAGTAGAAAAACTTTGCAATACATAAGGTCCCGTGCTTCCTGTGCATGGGAACTGCACTGGCGACGCCGGAGTTGTCATTGTCAAGGTTGTCCTCTGCATGTGATTCGCTTCAAAGCACCCGTTTTCGTTTCTTGGGAGCAGACAACAGCAGATAGGCGGTGCCATGGAATGAAGCTTGTATGCTAATCGTTTAAAAGCAGGATACAGTGTTGCTGACGTTTCGGTAAGGGGGCAGGGCTTGGTGCAGCACTCCTGACTGTTACTATTATCTCGGTGACCCAGGATTCGATAGAAAGACACCCGCCCTGCTGATGGCCAAGCCAGGATTAAGGCGCATTAAGTAATAGTGTCAAAAAGCGCGCGCGAATCGGCAAGTTGCCCTCAGAATATCCAGCGTACCGGGAGCCAGCGTACCGGGAGGGTTCGGACGGATGGCAAGACCAAGGGAAAAACATGTCATACAATTGTTGTAGGCGTCTTGATCAGGTCGTGTAATAGGGGCAAAAGGGGCTTAAATGGAATTAACGGATGTACCACCACATTGCCGTAGAGACGATGTGTTGGCGACTCCGCTGCTGGGTGTTATTTGCCTACTCCATATCTTGCATGTGATTAGATACTTTATCTTCATATCATCCTGTACCCATATTGATTCCAGCGGACGTTTCGATAACTCAATCAACGCGACCAGGTAGTAAGACGCAATGCGTCTGCAAAGGCTAGCTCGTACAAATGCATCGCTTGGAGGACAGCGCAGATTATGCGTTGGGCCGGGCCCCTGTCGGTCAGCACCAGGCCGAACCCGCATGCAAGTGTCGTGTGTTGCCGAAACTTCGGAGACCGCCAAACAAGGGCCAAGCCCTCCGCCTACTCTATCAAGTGGCGCATATGTCACCAATTCATTTGGAGCAGGGCGCGTGTCAAGGGACAGCTTGGATGAAGAGGGTGCGTGTCGTTGCCGCCCTTCTCACCTTCCATGACCCTAGCCGCTTCATTAGTTGACAAGCCACCCGTTGACATTACAGATGTCCTGGAGCTAAAAAACTTACGGAATTATTTGGTTCCCAGGTGCGGCGTAAGCTTGGTTTGTCCATCTCGCTGGGATGGCCACTGGCCTCTCCTCACTCTGTTGCCCCGATGACCCACAGGGACAGCCCCTTCATCGTCGATAACAACCATGGAGGTGGCTTCGGTAAGGTTGCACACGGATACCCTAGCCTGCCCTGGCATATTACTTTTGCGGGTGACCAACCGCCGCCGCAGCAACACCCCTACACCTCTCCCTTGCCGAGAGCAGCTCCCAAGAGGAAAACGCTGCCACATCCGCCCTCGCTTGGCTCAATCCTGCCCTTGACCTTGCAGTTGGCGATCGTGACCGAATTCGGCTACACACAGTGGAGTTCGAATCAGCGGAATCGGCAGGTGCGCATCGGGTCGGGGGTAGTGGTGATAGATGACGCCTCTAACCTCTGGCGCGATTCCCCCCTCAGGCGCGCACATGTGCACTATCGCGACCCATTGCCATGCCGGCCTTCTTACGCCTGTTCTCCTTTCAACCCGCAGCTCACCCCTTACATCTACATCTGTACCCAACTAGCTCCCCGGCATGTGCACTTGCGGCCGTCCCGTGTCCGCTCCTGATTCCGTTGCCTATACCCCCTATACGCGCGCGCGCGCGTGTGTTTGTGTGTGTGTGTGTGTGTGCCTCCGCAGGGTCCTTCTGTGCTGACGGCGTGTTAACGCATGGTGACGAGGACTCGTGCATTCTCCTGCCGGAATGGGCTATTCGTTGCGGGCCCCGCAAGACGATTTATTTTGACCCCAAGCAGGTGCGTCAGAGCCTCCCGCGGCATGCCAAGGGTTGGAGCCGGGGCTGGAAGGGGTGGGATCGTGGCCGGCTGGCGGGCACCATCATGCCCCCGCTGCCAGTGTTTCTCGAGGGGTTTCCAGAGCTGGACATGAAGGGAGGTTCCGAAACGGGCGTCGGATGGCCATGCGACCCTGTGATGGATGGGGAAGAGGGAGAGTGTGAAAAATTTGGAGCAGGGCCGGGGCGGGGACGTAAGAAAGGGGAAAGACGAACCACGAGCGAGTGAAACCGATGCCAAGGGAAGACTGCTGCGGCGGGGAGAAAGGGGAAAGTGAAGGGGAAAGGTGGACTGCGGGCCCCGGGTGAGAGGGTGACCAAGGTCGATACGTGGGATCCAGGTGGAGCCCGGGGGGGAATGAGGCATTTTATTGAGCAGGACTGACTTTGAGACAGGAGGTAATACCTTCATGCAGCCTCCCAGGGCGTGAAGACTTTTAGACTGAAAGACTCCAACTAAGACCTTTTTAAGATATTTATTAATAACAAGGGGTCGAGTTAGGAGCCTCAGCGGGCGCCGGCAGGTGCATCTCCCATATTTCCGGTGCCGGCATGTCCATGTGAGCTGAAGGGCCGTATAACCAGCGCAGACAAGGCCACACGTGGGTGCGTGCGGGTTGACCGGGGCGCACGTGCAGAAGCTTATTGGCCCCCGCGTGGACGTGCCCATGTCCCATGTCGCCGTGCTGCGTTGCTGTGGCTGTAGAGGAAACGAGGCAGGGGCTCCCTTGCAGTGGGGTTAGCGGCACAAACGGGGCTCGTGCCGCGAATATATGTATCAGCAAGCAAACTAATGACTAAGCTTTCCCGTCCTAGGAGAGGTCCCCGCGGATCTCTACAAATCTACCATCCCTGGAGCCTGCACCCAGCGAGAATTACCGCATTCCCACGCACGTGGCTATGCCGTTTTCTGTTCATTGCACGGCGAACATCATCATATGGAGGGTATGGATGAAGGGAGCATGTGGGCAAATGCATGCTGGTCAAAGCCAGGGCGGCTGCACCTTCCAAAAGCAGCCGAGCGGAGTTCAGCCGAGTTCAGTCGTGCACTAACCTTCGGTTGCCTTTCGGTTGCCTCTCCAACAAGCTCCATCTCACAATTACCACCTTTGCCGCCCGTAAAGCCTGTTTGTTACGAGACGATTTCACCCTGATAAACCGCTTAGGAGTGCTCCCGTCTGCTATTTAGGATGCTCGGTCCGGATGTCCGTGGCCTGGGGCTCTTATCTGCTGCTTACGGTTTCTTGTCTGCGCCCTAATAACTGTCGGTCCACAGGTCAGCGCAGCAGTGGTGACATGCGGTGGACTTTGCCCCGGACTCAACGATGTGGTGCAGGTGAGCAATTGCGCAACGTAATGCCGCAAAGGGCTGAGTTGGGGTGGGGTCTTAGTGTGGGTAAAAAAGGGGAAAGCGGGCGCTTTTTTTACTGTTTTAGGTAACGGCTCCTCATGATCCCTGGCAAGGGTCAGGAGTACTTGGTCGTGGGGTGGGTCTGAATGCCCCTCGTCCTGTGCTCTGGCTAGCTCACGTGGCTCACAAACGGCAGTGGAGCAGATGGCAAGGGGACCGGCTTCCCTAAAGCCCGGGTTACATTTGCCCTATCGTTCGTTCTCTCGCTCTCGCTCTTCCTCCCTCCCCGGCTCGCTCGACTCAGTGCCCCTAGACGTGCACAGGGATTGGCACATAAAGGGCATGATGGTGACAAGGCCATAGTAAAGGCAGGCAGGAGAGGCACGTGCATGGCGCGGGAGGGACGAGTTGGCGCATATATACCGAATATATATGTATGTATGTATAACATTTATAAATATGATGTATGATTTGCACACAACCCTTGCCCCTCTGGCCCGTCTATTCGCTGATCATACCGCGCAACTCACAGAACATCGTGTACACGCTGACCGACTACGGTGTCCCGGAGGACAACATCCTGGGCATCCGCTACGGTCTGCGGGGCTTCTACGAGCGCGACGCCAAACCCATCACCCTGACACGCAAGTACGTGGATGGCATCCACCTCAAGGGCGGCACCATGCTGGTACGTGTACCGTCATTGCTTTGCCTATTGCCTGTCGTCTGTCTGTCTGTCTGTCTGTCTGTCCAACCGATGTCCAACCGAGCTAGGGTAGCTTGCCGATCTTCTGTTGGATGGTCCACGCAGGGCCGTTTTCGTTTGTCTGTTTGTTTGTTGTCGGACTGTCGTGATCAGGGCGTTGACCTAATCGTGCCTTGGGACTGTGTTCCTTGCCATTCTTCGGGAACGAGGCATCGCATCCTCTATCTTCGCACCCTCGCGTCTGACGGGATGGGACAAGATTATTATGCTCCTCGGGCTTGATGCACTTGATGTGACTTCGGTGCACCGCTTTTGCATGTGCAGGGCACCAGCCGCGGCGGCGCAAACGTCAAGGAGATTGTGCGTCGCATCGACCTGTGGGGTCTCAACATGGTCTTCGTGGTGGGTTCGATGGACAATGCTGTGCCCTGCACGCAAGTTACACCCCTACCCTACGCAAGAAACAACATGCCTACAAGCTACTTTTTAACATTTATCCTCCCGGCTGTTTGGGGCGGTCCTGTCCGGGTCAAGATTTTTGTCTTACTAATTCTCTATCCAATGATGGTGATGCTGGTGGTGGTGCTGCTGCTGCTGCTGCTGCAGGTGGGTGGTAACGGAGGCAATGCCGCCGCTAACGCGATCTCTGATGAGTGCGAGGCCCAGGGCGTGGTGTGCACAGTGGTGGGTGTGCCCAAGTCCATCGACAATGACATCCTGCTCATCGACAAGTGCTTCGGTTTTGAGACAGCGGTGGAAGAGGCTCAGCGGGCGTTGCTGGCGGCCAAGGTAGGAGTTGCTGCGGGTTATGGGATTGTAGAGATCTCGGCGACGTAACGCGGATGGTTGGAGGCCACGGATTGGACCGACCCCAGCCACACGCCCTTCGGATGGCGCTGATCCGCCGGCACGACCGGCGCCTCGTGCCGGAGTGCCGGATTTCTATGAGTTTGCTACAAAATTGTGGACAAGCATAGGCTGCCTGCGCCGCTTCCATGTTGCCAGCTTCCATCCTATCTAGTCTGAACGCGTCCTGCCTTCTTCGCTTGTAGAAGAGGGGCTGGGCCCTCCTTTGCCCTTTGCCCTTTGCCGCGTTCCTGCTGCTGCTGCTGCTGCTGCTGTGTTGCCATTGCCGTGGCCTTATCCTGATCCGCGTTTTGCCGTTGCACGCTGTGGCAGGTGGAGGCCGGCAGCGCGAGGAACGGGCTGGGCCTGGTGAAACTGATGGGCCGCCAGTCGGGCTTCATTGCCATGCAGGCCTCCATGGCATCAGGTAAATGGAACTGCTGTTCATACGATCCTCGTGCTGGGGCTGTGTGGTCCTGATGCGGGGACGGGGGAACGGTTGTGTCTGTCCCGGCGCGTTCCTTGAATCCATTCGTAGCTTTGAGCCGGTGCACATGCTGGTCGAGGAAATGACGCTAAGCTCCGTGGCCCCGCGTAACCTCCTGGCAACCAACCAGGTGTCGCGGACGTGTGCCTCATACCCGAAATTCCTTTCCGCATGGACAAGCTCATCGCGCACGTAAGTGGGCTTTGGGGGCTGTTGTGAGGGAGCAGCAAATTCGAGTTCCTCGGTGCCTGGATGGGCTGTCGTTTGGTCTGACCTGCCCGTGCCCCCCCGTCAATCTTCCTGTAGGGCCCGTAGGCCCTGTGTTGAGTGTGTGCTCTGTGTAATCTCTCATAAAACCGCTCCCTGTGACCCTCTGCGCCCGCAGATTGCGAGCGTATTCGAGAAGCAGGGCCACTGCGTCGTGTGCGTGGCTGAGGGTGCCGGACAGGACCTCCTTTTGGTGCGTACCTTGAAGGGTTTGGCTGCGGGGAAGGGTGGCTCATAGGAAAAGGGCGCACCGGTGTTCAGGTTCTAGTGTGTTCAGCGGTTCATGTTAGTCTCACACACACACACACACGCACATACACAATATGGAGATACATGCGGCTTAGTTCGCTGGGCGTTCGAAGCAAGTACTATTACCACCACGAAAATGCAGAGCTAGCAATCTTTGAGGCTAGGGGCTGTCTGTGTGCGTATGTTGATCCGTGAATCAAAGTCTTTGTCAGCGTACGGATGGAGTATTCGGCCGTCCTGTAGCGCCTTGACCGCTTGGGCCGGCCGCGCATGGGGATTTGATGCGGCTTCGATGCGGAACTGAAGGGGTACCCGTGCTCTTAAACCGAGCGTGGTGTTCGCTAACGCTTTTTCCCTCGCCTTGTCACTATTGTGATACTGGAAAATGGCTGCTGCAATTGCGGTCGCTGCCGCTGGGGCCTTTATTTATTGGTTCCTTTTGATCGCGCTGCTCGCAGAACGGGGCGGCTGGCACAGATGCCAGCGGCAACCCGATCCTCGCGGATATTGGCATTTTCTTGCGCAACGAATTGAAGAAACACTTCAAGGTGCGGCTCCGGCTGCGGCGGCTTGCGGGGGGGCGGGGGGGAAATGGGTGGTTGGACACTTACGCGGAGCTGGGGGCTGCAGGTTCTTGGACCAACGGCATTGGGGCGGCCGTAGCCACGTGCGCGTCTTGGCGTGTGCGGCAATGGCATGTCTTATCACACACGCTTGTCACGGAGCGGATCTCCCTCTTCTTATCTGGTGTTGGCGCGACACCTGCTTAGTCGCCTAGCCAATGCTTAAGCCTTGCTTTCCTAAAGCATATGAAAGCGAGGTTTGGTCTCCAGGGTCTGCAGCCCGGCCATTTAGTTGGCGCCGTGCCCGCCCACCAACTTCCCGGGTTTCTGCTTTCTGCACTGTTTTGGCACGCAGGGCGACGCGGACATCAAATACATCGACCCGTCGTACATGATCCGCTCCGTACCAACTACCAGCAACGATCGCATTTATTGCAAGGTCCTCGGCCAAGGGGCTGTACACGGGGCGTTTGCCGGCTACACCGACATCACGGTCGGCCTGGTCAATACACATTACGTGTACCTCCCTATTCCGATGATTATCCAGGCGCCTCGCAAGGTGGGGTCATTTTGCAGGTCTGCTTAAGCCTCCGTCTTCCCTGGCCCTTCAGGTTGACGTGTAGGTTAATGCGTGACCCCGTGACATTATGCGCCTATGTCCCAAGGCCTAGCTCTCAAATAACAGCACCTCTGTGTTGCAATAGCTGCCCCAGATATTGAAGGTAAGCCCGCCACGCAGCGCTTACGAAGCCTGCGTTGCATGGAGCGCCTTTCCCATACAGCCGGTACGCCACTGCCTGTTGTGGCCGCGCTTAGGGTTCACTGGGGTCGTTTCTGCGTTGCCCGTGGTGCTTCTGTGCAGGTGAACCCCAAGGGCCGCCGATGGAATCGGCTCATTGCGGCCATCCGGCAGCCGGACTTCTCATGAACACTGCATACAAGGCTGTGATTCCCTCAACTCTGTCCCGTCGCCTTACACACTGCGCTCCAGAGCCTAACGGAAACGGTGGTGGTCGGCAGCATGACAGTGCAACGCGGCCGGGCAACGCGAAGCAGGCGAAGTCATTTTACGGTTGGCAATTGCCACTTGTACACGCGCGTAGATTGGTACCACCACGTTTGGTCTGTGGATCAGTCCCACCAGATCTTGTACGAGCGTTCAAAGCTGTGCACAACAACATTGCGTTGTAACCCGAGCAGGATTAGGCAGCCTTCGGCTGCTGGAGAATCATTGTGGCGCGCAGTTGAGGTTACCATAATATTGAATCGTACGTAGTCGGGTTGTAGGTGAGCATGTGCATGCTCGGAGGTATAAGAAAGTGGGGGTGCCAGTCTCAGGACTAAGCCCGCAAGTGCGTAGCGCCTTGTCCAGAAGTATGCATCATGGAACGACACACGAAGATCCTAGAAATATCCTGCATCTTGTATTATGAGGTATATTTCCCTCAACAATTTAATCTCATAGCATAGCAGCTCATCTGGGTGGTATCCCGTAGGCCGAAATGACGGAGTTATAATGGTACTTGATATCTACAAAAAATGTGCCCTGTGGAATTGAAACCTTGGGCATTGACTATGTTTCCTTTGTGTTCGCACGCTGTACGGTTGCTAGGCTTGTGAACCTGTGTAGCACCGTCCCCTCGCTGTCAGCACACACGACCGACCGTACTAGCAGGTTCACTACCACCAGTACAATCACTTAGTACACATCGCAAGGAATAACATACATGAAAAAATCTTAGTCCGTAATGCACGTTGTTATGCGGACACTCATAAACACCACGCCCGTTCGTAAAGCTGCGAATGACACCCCCCACTAGCACCGCTGGTAACCAGCATGCACAATTTCGCCCGCAGCCATGGACATGCAGTGTAGCTCTCAACATTCGATCCTCAATGCACTCTTAACTCCAAAGCGTTGTTCTCCCTCCGACACCCGTAAGCCCCGCTACAACCTCGGTGCCCACGTTGCCACAACGCCATGCGCACATAGCGGCGATCCCTAATTGCAAATTGTGCACAAGGCTGCGTCACAGTAAACGGTGCGATGGATGGCGCCGCGTTGCTGGGTTTACGCTATCGAGCAGGCCGTGAGCTTGTCCTTAAAAGACTTCTTGCCCTTCGTGCGGACTTTGCTCGGCTTCAAGTCCACGGTTACAGGACCCTCGCGAACAGGAGCGGCCTCAGAAACCTGCTCAGGGCCTTGCGCTTGTGGCTGCGCTGGAGATGGCGAAGCTGCTGCCGCTGCCGCCGCTGACCCGGGGGGTGCAGTGATGGCAGCCGCTGCTGGCTGCTGGCTTAGCTCGCCTTTCTGCAATTTTTTGTGATGCAACTCTGCCAGATAGCCGAAAACCTCCGTCACGTTTATGTTTTCCTTAACGCAAGTGCGATACAGCTTCAGACCCAACTGTCGCGCCATAGCTTCGACCTCTTCCGGAGTCACCACAGCTTGGTCGATAAGGTCAACCTTATTTTGAACCAAACACATGGCGATGTCGCCACATTCCGCGATAATTTTGTCCTTCCAGCCTTGCACGGCTTTGAAGGACTCAAGGTCTGTCGTCGAGAAAGCAATTACAGCTGCGCCCGCGCCACGATAGTATGTCCGCGTAATGGCGTCAAATTCCTCTTGACCAGCTGCAGGACATGGAAGGAGGGGGACGCGGACAGTCATAACCCTTGAAACGGCCGAGAGCTCTGCATGCTGTGTTACTTATATCCCACCTGTATCCCACAGCATAAATCGGACTTCCTCCTGAAGGGCATCGACGAATTGCGCCTTTTCTAGGAAGTCGACTCCGATGGTCTTCTTATACTCGTCTGTGAAGACGCCCTTGCAGAACCTTCGAATCATGCTGGTTTTGCCAACACCACCGTTCCCAAGCACCACTACCTTGATCTCCCTGTCAAAGTCCTCCTCCATTCTGTAATCGCCAAAGGCCCTAGGGAAATAGGTGGCTGTTGGCGATTAGCTTGTGTAACTGCAAAATACTTGGATAACAGAAGGAGCTCCTGGACTCTAGGCAACGGTGAGATGGACCTGGTCAGCGGCAGACGGTGAATCAAAGGAAGCGTGGTGAAGGAGCACAACTAAACTGTTCATGCATAAGCCTAATTTATTATAAGGCAGCTGCAAACGACTAAGGTTGGCTGCCTTCGGAATTCTGACTTTCGTTCTCAGTTACTGGCAGTACAAATTGCCGACAGCTGAATGCCGGAGCTCCAAAGGTGATGCTGAAGACAATACACACGCACGTTACGATGTTCTAGGAGCAAGTTATAAGTTTTCATTCAGACTCGACTTCTGTCAACGTTAGCCCAGGCCAAAAGTGAATGAAGGAAAAAGCAGCTGCGGTGCCTAGACGTGAGGTTGCCCTAACCCCAGTTACCGTGACGACGTGCATGTTACATCTCATTCCAATTGCCTAACACAAAGGTTGCCTGTTAACGACTTGATAGCGGTCTACGATGCCAAGGGCGAGGCCCCGTCAAGCCGGCCTGGCGCTGGTGTCTGATCTCTCTGAGGAGTCCTTTGCGGAATTTCTTCTTAAGGTTTCAAAGGTAAGGAATCAGTTCTGGAGTTCGCTTCGTGCGGGGGCTGCGGAAGGTGGATGGCAAGAGCCGGGGACGTGGACATGACCGGGGCTTGCTGGCCACAGAAGCCGAAGGCTGGAGTCGAGGGCATCGCCGAACTTACCAGGCAGCAGCTCCTAAATGTCTGCACAGCTCTGGCGCTGCAAGTTGAGAAAGCGGTGCCTGCGGCCACCGACATCTTGGCTGAGGGGGACATACGGGCAGCTGAGGTACGCGACCGTTGGAGTGTGCGCTCCCATGTCTTTGCCAGCCATGCCCATAGACGGTGATTGGCTATAAGTAGCTACGAGCCGTTTGCAAACCTTCGGCTGTCTGTTTGTGGGTTGCTCCTACAGGAGGCCATCCTCATACTCCATGGTGCAGCCGCTCTGGCACTGGACCTCCTGACACACAGCCAGCAGCCGCCCCCCGAACAACTCCTCGACGCTGCTGTGATACTCCATGATGGCGTGCTCATTGTAGGTGAACGAACGAATTCCATTACAACGTGCGGTTGTTTTTCTTCATGATCGCTGCTTGTGTCCTGGAACTTATCGGTGCACAAAGCTGAATGCCGCTTGCCCTGGGCCCCAACAAAGCGCCAGTAGGGGATGTGGCGTCTTTCAGGGCGTATCGGTGTAGGCCAGGACAGCTTGCATTGGACACCGTACTTACCGGCAGCGCCGTATTTTTAGCGAAGATTGTACCCCTTTTAGTGAATGTACAACGGTGTAACGGGAGGAGAGCACCCGCCGTCCTCTTGAAGGGGCTTGCATGAGCATCAATGTGCAGTTGAGGCCATGTGTATGTTGCTCATCCCAGCCGCGCTGGCACTGCAAGTCATAAAACTTCATATTTTTCATCTAATGGCCACCAGGACGTTCCATGGCTTGCAAGTTATGGCACACGTGCCTCCCATCTGAAGGCGCTCTCCTCTTGGCATCTACACATAAAGGGGCGTTTCTTTTTCGCATGGCGCGCCTTCTTCTGTCCCGGCGTGTGAAGTTGCCCTACTTGCCCGCCAAACCCCGTACAGACAGACATGCATCCCGTGTTGGAGAAGTTGCAAATGGAGATGCAGGATGCTGTTATGCGGTTGTGCTGCGTCTGGTGGGAGCGCCAGCTGCCCGGTAACGAGTCCTTGGTGGCGCGGACCATTCCATATGCGCTGGTGCGTGTGCGCGTGGAGCTCTGGTGGGGCTCTGGTGGAGCACGTGTGCGTGCGTGTGTGTGTGTGTGTGTGTGGCGGCGTTTTGGTCACAATTCTCTGGTACCCTTGTGCCATTGTGCGCTTCCCAACGCCCACGCGCTTCCTGCCTGGTGCCTGCGTGCCTCCGGAAGGTTGTGCAGGGCCGCGATACTTTGACGGGACTTAATTCTGTGCATGGAGGGTTCCGTATCAAATGAACAACTTCCCGCGTGAGCCTTTGGAAGAGATGGGATTGGCGATAGTCACAGAAACGACTTCGGCTTGTGCGATTAGCTTGACCCAGCCCAGCGTCCACATCCGGATACGTCCCCAGATATCGCTCACGTCACGTCTTATGACGCGTGAACGTTGTCAATTCAACATGAGCTCTAATGTACAACCCTTTCCCGTCACCCCCGCGCCGACCCAAATTTCCCGTGCCCAACCATGGCCTGCCCATGATACCCCTGCGTACGGCAAATTGTACGGTTTGCCTGTACTTCATCGTTGTTCAGCTCCGGGCGATCCAGAGCCTGGATCACAACCGCACGTCCATGGTGCACATGTGCTACATCGTTCGGGGTGCCCTGGAGCTGCTAGATTTTGAGGATGAGACCATTCGTGATACGAAGCGCCTGCTGCTGTGCGCCGCCATGCACCCGTCCTTCCTGCGGGAGCCGGAGGGCCGCCGCTTCATCGCCGGGCTGTTCAAACTGGAGCCTCAGATGACCCAGGAGCTTGGTGCCATCCTGCGGAACCAGGTACCGATGCGTCTTTTGATATCCGTTGTGTGCACCCTCCCTTGAGCCAACATCATGCCATGAGTGGTTAACGAGCCCCTAATGGATAAGAACCCGTGGTCGTGACGAGGTTTCTGATGTTTTGAGATTTGAATGCACACGCGCTCGCTGGGTCTTTGCTAATTGATGTTTCATTTTGTTGTCTTGGGCCTGGGGCGTTGCAGATTCCATCGGGTCAGCGCTTCGCGCTGGAGGCGTACGGCGAGATCCTGTTCCGGGCGTGGAGGGACACCGTGGGGCCCTGTGCGGCGGTGGTCGAGGCGGAGTTGCAGGGACTGATGCAGGCTGCGATCCTGGCGAGCACACCGGCCTTGGCTGGGGCGTTGCGGATCGTGCTGAACGGCCTTCACAGCAAAAGGTAAGGGCGTGGAGGTCATATACTTCAGCGGTACTCCAGCAACCTTTTGGAGTGCAAAATTGCGTGGCTGGCTGCGTTACTTCGCCTACTAGGAAAGGGGATTCGCCTTGCAGCACACTAGGCCGGTAGAGCTGTTTACGTAAGGCGACTGAGTGGTTTTCGTCGGTTACCAACACTAACTGCCAAAGTGTGGCCGCCCAATGTTTGGCGGGGCTTGGTTATTGGTTATTGCATATGCGCTCACAAGGCCATCATGCTGATGTGTGCCGCGCAGGGCCGCGAGATAAAGTAAAGGATTAATTCCTCTATTAGTATTGTGATTACTTACAAGGTGGGATACAGTTCAGGTAGAAATAACATTATCTACCTGTGCTGGATCCCATCTTCCTCTGTCCAAACACGTGCCATCAGCCACCGCTGTTGCTACTGCCGTTGCCGGTGTCGCCAGGACCCTTGAGAAGCGCCTCAATCCGGCACTCGTGCGGCTGTACGATCCCATCCTGCCGCGGGCCTTTGGTGCGGCCAACGCTGAGGTACGGCGCAACGCCGTACACCTGCTGGTGGCGGCCTTCCCCATCATCGTGAGTCGCAAGGGGCGGCAGCCGGGGCGTGGGGATGTGTGCAGGCAGGATGTTGTAAAGCATGAGCAGGCATTGAAGGCTCGGGCATAAAGCGATGCGATGTCAAAGCCAGGCGTCCTTTGCGGTGCACAGCACAATGACTTATTAGCGGCGGACCTCTGCGGCGGCACAGGAAACGGCAGACCGCAGGTGGGCAACCGTGCTTACACCCTTATCCATCATCTCGTCCATGGATTGGCACCCCGCCGCCATTGCCGCCGCTGGGACTTCTGTTTTTTCGGTGTGCCATGTGGTGACTATGTCTCCAATGTCAATGCACTGCAGGACACCGATGCCCCCCGGGATGTCAACAACGTCCGACTGACGCAGCAGCTGGGATTCCTGATGGACGGCCTGGCGGACCCATGCCCCTTCGTACGAGAGGCGGCCGTGGAGGGGTGCTGTCGCTGTCTCAATTTCTTCTGGGAGATTGTTCCTGCTCCCACTAGCGCCAAGATGATCAGCGAGATGACTTGTGGGTATGGGGTGGGCACGGCCGACGGGCCAGCGGGGCAAGTTGGTGTTGGTAAAAGGAAGAAGGATCACGTAGGGCGGTGGCGGCAATGGCGATCGCGGTGTCGCGCCAGGCTCTCCTGGCTGGGGCATTGGACTGGGGGTGCTGCTGCTCCAGCTGTGCCCCAAGGGTTGATTATCTATTATAAATTGTTATTGTATACTGTTCCATGGAAAAAGGTAAAGTATTACGAGGCGAGCGATTCTGGCTAGCAGTGAGCAGTAGTGGAAGCGCTCCTGTAGGAAATTGCTGAACATAGCTGGCTGGCACGGTCCGAGGAGTCGAAGCCATCTATGCGGTCGCGGATGTGGTGGCTGTGCGCATCAACCAGCAGCAGCCAAAGTAACGATGATATCGATCGTCAAAGGATTGAGCGCGGACTGAACGAATTGCGCTTGGCTCCGTCAGTTGCAAAGAGACACGGCGTGCTTGCGCACGGAAGCCATATCTCAGCCCCACTCCGTGCCGGGCGTTTACGCGCATACTCTGCCGCTGCCATCATGCCATTTTGGTGACCACCTGCAGGCAAACTGGCGTATGACGGCTCCTCACGGGTTGTACGCATCGCGGTCCTGCGGGGCCTGTGTAAGCTCGTAGATAGCCAACACGCGCAGCCGGTCCTTAAGGTAAGTAGGTTGATAGCATGAAATAAGGGGGACGCAAGGCGTCGTGTTAGCCGCGAGCTCTTCTCCCTCTCATGATCTGCCCACGCCATGCTGCCGTCGTTCGTTCCCCGCCGCGCGTCCTGAGTCTGTGCGCGACCATCCCAAGAGCTTTCCGCTCCCCTGAAACACTACGCTTGCAACCTGCTGCCCGCAGCTGCAGCTCGGCCGCCGACGCCACGGCTTTTCTTTCTCCCATGCCTAGACACGCTGACACACCGACACATGGTATTCTGCTGGATCTGAAAACACCATCACATCCCAGTTCTGTATCCTTATGCCATGTCCATTGCCCCCATTCCTCCCCTGCAATGCCGCCGCCATCACTGCCACCATTGCCGCGCCTGCCACACTTCTGCTCCTACCGCAGAAAGCGCTGCCTGAGATCTCAGGGCTGCTGCAGGACAGGGACCCTGGGGTCCGTGAAGCGCTGGCTGACCTGTTGGTGGCGGTCAGCGGCTCCCGTGGACTGCAGTTCTGGGGCGTGGTACCCCCGGAGGAGTTGCTGGAAGTGATTGCGGTGGACAAGGCACCCGGGGTGACGCGCAAAATCTCCAAGATGCTGGTGCCCAGCTTCTTCCCAAACGCGCAGGAGGGCTCGGTGGGTAACGCAGGCTACGCTACGTGCTACTACGATTTGTTTTCCAACGTGAAGCGACGCGTGGCTTTGGGCATGCATGCCTACCGGCGTGGGCATGTGTTTTTTCGTTACGCACGTCCCGATATGTGTCTGGTATGTGCAGGCGCGCCTGGGTGCACTGCTTCGATCGAAGCCCGCTGCAGGGCTGTCTTTTTGCCGCAACATGGTGGCTCGCTTCTACCCACGCGACCCAGGGGTCATGGGCCAGGCCTCATCTAGCACGGAGTTCACCGGGTCAGTGCCCCTGGAGCAGATCCTGCAGTTCGCCAGCCAACTGGCGGCACACCTGCTGGCCACGGCACCGCGCCTGGGCTCTTCAACTACAGCAGCCGCCGCGCAGCAACAGACAAAGCGCAATGGAAAGGCCAAGGCAGCCAAACGCCAAGGCAAAGCGGGAACGAAGCGCGCGAAGAAGAAAGCCCCTGCGCCCCCCAGCAGTAGCTCTGACGGAGAGGGCCGCGGTGGGGAGCAGCAGGTATGTCGTGTGTGACGGAGAGTTGGGCCCCAGGGGAGGGTTTTACTGGGCATTTTCCGGCTTTGTTCGCTGGCGGCACTGCAGCTTGTTGGGAGGCGTGGACTATGAACGGGTTGCATGTGCCGGAATGTAAGGGGTGAGCGTCACTTTTTCCAAACCGCTTAGGGAATATTAAGGAGGCATGAAAACTTACGACACTGCGTGTGCTACCTTTGATGCGCGCAGGCAGCAACCGACGCCGGAGCTGACAACGGCGTCGCCGCCGCGGCGCGAAATCAGACAGAGGACGATGAGGATGTGGTTCTTCAGGTCCGGTGCTGTGCTTCGCGTTTTGTGCCCTTTAGCCAAGCTATTTGTCTGGCTGTGCGATGTCGCCGAGCGCCAAGTTAGTGGACTTGGTGGAGCTCCTTTCCTACTACGCCTGCTACATACCTGGCCTCGAGATACCCGGGGATGGCGCATTTTGGAAGATTCTATCATGTATTCATGACCACCAAATTTCTACCCATAGAGCAGCACAGTAAGATGTTGCCCACCAGTGCCAATTTGACCATTGCACGTTGCGTTTCCCTCTCTACAGCCGCTGCTGCTGCTGCCGCTGCTGCTGCCGCTGATGATGACGATGCTGCTGCTACACAGGACGCCACTGCGGAGACGGAAGAGGGCTGGATGGCCATCCTAGAGGGCCTTACGGTGGTTGTAGACGGCCTTGGTGCGGCAACAATCCACATGGAGGAGTGCAGCGCCAAGGAGCTGGAGGAGGCAGTTCCAGGGCAGACCATGATGCAGCTGCTGAAGGTCGCGGAGGAGCAGTTGCGAAAGCCCCAAGCAGTGTAAGCAGCATGCGCATCGTCCGTCGGCGAGTTACTGTGTGTACATGTTGATCTTCCTATACCACCTGCCGCCTCCCTTTGACGTGCGAGGATGCGGCAGTCATGTCCCTAGACAACGTACCGACCAAACCGGCAGACAGCTTAACATGCAAATTAAGATTGCCGGTTGCCAATCGCGCATGTTTCATCAGCTGCGTGTCTCGTCACTTCAAGGATACATTCACGCATAAACGCGCTGCCTCCTAAGGGGGCCCCCACCTTTCGGTGTGTTGGACCCAGATGGTAATTTTGCCTGCAACTATTTTATGTCCCAGACTCCCCGCTCTCGCTGCGGTATACGTATTTGTCGAATACCGGCATGCATCGCCCATAGGCCGCCTGGCGGCATACAAACACATAATCCATCCCTCCAGGATCACCACACACCGCGTGGCGTCGCGCTGTTGTCGTGTCGCACCGCAGGCAGCTGGTGCTCCAAATGGTGGCATCACTTCACTTCACGTCCGGCGCGAAGCACGTGCGAGCCACCCTGTTCGAGCGCCTGGCGGCGGGAACATTGCCAGGTACCGCTTTGGGGTCTTTTAGGCGTCGGAGTCTCCATCGTGCTGACTGGACGCATGGGGAGAAAAATAAGAATTTGTAGGGCAAATAGCGCGCTTCGTCTTTACTGTCCGCGGCCTGCTGAGATTTGCCCCGGGTCGCGAGCAGTTCAGTTGTGTACCAGTGCCCCTCTCCTATCTCTTTGCCTGCCGGAAGAGAGAGGGGGCCTCTGCGGGGTGCTGCGGCGCCTGACACACAACCGCACGTGCTGAGATTATAACGCTAGTTCCGTTAAGGCTACCGTGGGCTTTGCATTCTTTGTAAGCACCGGTCTGTAACACGCTAACACACACACACACACACACACACTCTATTGGCTGTACGCAGGCTGCAAGGCGGCGGCTGGGGACGACGAAACCATGGAGGTGTGTTGTGTATGGGCGTAGGCCCAGGAGCGGCCTCAAAGCTAAAAACAAGGGCATTGACCGGCCCACGTGCTAGCCTCGAGTCTGCGTTCACCCTCACGACGTCGGGCCGCGCACCCAGCCGCCGTCGACACATTAGTTCGCCTCTGCCTGTCCACCAACTTGTCCATTTCACTGGCGTGCCTTCAAAGCCTCCTTGAAAGCCTCCGTCGCACCCAGTTTATCAACAATCACTCGTTCATGAGATCTGCTCCAATCTGCTCCAATCCCCCGGTGATCCTCCCGCATCCGGTCGTTGTGCGCGTGTGGTGCTCTGTGGGATAGCTTGACGGTCATCGGGGTCCTCAAGGCCACGACGTGGGGATCCTTTCCCAGATGCTCAAGGTGAGGGGAATGCAGACCTTGCGGACCTTGGGTTTTACTTGCATCTGTGTACTGGCTTGAGTTGTAGATGGCGTGGTGCACTAGTGTGTTGGCAGCAGCACGGCATGGCCATTATTTCCCTTCATCTTCTAAACAAGCACTCCTCCGCGCTGTTTGTCTTGGTGATACTTACATACGCACGTACATACGGATCGGTTAGTGCTCAAAGTTTGCTCCCAAGGGTTGTCTTCGCGCCACGCATGCAGCTCAACACGGCGTCCTCGCCCTAGCTTTGCAATGCGCCATGCGTCAACTACTGGCCTTCCCCGGTGCGACGACGCCACCGCTAAGCACCACCACTGAGCGATACAAAGCAACCAGCTCGTTGTGTGTTTTCACGTGTACAGTTTTACGAAATGCTTCTCACATTTGCAGACGCTCGCAACGGGCTCCAACGCGCCCAAGCTGGCGGCACTGCTGGCGGCGGCATTGGGCGTGCGGGAGCCATTGCCTCTCCGCAAGCCAGGTAGGGCCATTGCCCACTACCGTCCTGCCACACAGAATATATGTCTGCTGAGCTGCTTAGACAGACAGTCTTTTTAAACCCCGCCTTGGTGGCGGTAGGCTTGGCAGTAAGCGACTTAAAGCAGATGGCGCGATGGCAGACGCAGAGCGCAAGTGTTTACACGCGACACGACACGGCCACAGGTTGTCATGCACTTCACTTTGGCACGGCATCCCCTTCTCTCCAGTTTCTGAACAACGTGAATGTCGTTGCTGCTGCCTGCTGCCTTGCTGCTGCCTGCAAACCACGGTTGGTTTGCTGGTGGTCAGTGGCGTCGAAGAAAACGGCCAAGGCGGCCGCGGGCGACAGGGAGGGCCGCAGCGCGCTGGATCAGCTCCTGGGTGGGAGCGGCGGCGGCATGGGGTTGGACGGGCATGGTCGCAACTGCGACGAATGTGATGACGACATGATCTGCCTTGGCTGCAAGTGAGGTGATTTCGGAACGATAGCCTGGAAGTATCTCTCTCTTTTTCCTCTTTAGGCAAAATGACATTTCAACTGCCCACCACAGTCTTGGCAACTCGCATAAGCTGCTCCTACTTCCTACATTGCTTACTTTGCTTATTTGGTGTATTCTAGCTTTACAGAGGACCAGGAGGTCAGGTGTTATAGGCCGCCTTGCCGCTCCGTGCCACCCTAGCTGGCCAACACGCGCTCCCGTGCCCCCTTCCGCTTACTCCACCTCTACTGCTTTGCACGCCAAAGATAGTGGTTCTTGTGGGCCTCCCCCTTACCTCCCCACCTTGTTTGCCGGTGCGCAGGCGTGCCGAGCCGGCAGATACGATGCTTCTCTGCGACGGCTGCGACGCTCCCTGCCACACGCGCTGCCTGCGACCGCAGCTGCAGGAGGTCCCTGAGGTGGGTGTTTGTAACGGCGGGTAGGAATTAGGTGCCCTGAATCCAACATCCCCGCCCCCGCCTCCGCCCCTGCCCTAAACATGTTGATGTTGTTACAGGGTGGTTAAGCTTCACCAGTGGCCTCCTTCCCGAGGCAATTCCCTGCTCTCCCCTGCTCGAGGGGCAACCTAAGCCATTCACCCCATCCGACTTCAGAGTGTACTCTTTGAGTTTGGCAACTCACCACCAGCATCCAACCAAATCTAGCGGATCAACGGCGCCTCAACTTAGTTCCTGGTCGGCTCGCAAGTTGATTTTATCACGTCCTACACTGTCCACAAGATGGGGGGCCACCTCCCATTTCACCACCTCTCAAACACCCGAGAGGTCACCACATGTTGTTCGTGCTCACCTCCCTCACCCTGGCCCGCGCAGGATGCTTGGTTCTGCTGGCAGTGTGAGTCGCAGCTGCAGGCGGTGCGGTTGCCCGCCGCCGCGGCGGGACGCTGTGTGTGTCTGCTGCTGTTGCACGAGGAGGGCCGTGCGCTGCTATGCGGCCACCCGGACTGCAATGCCATTATCCAGGTGCGCGTCGGTCGGTCGATTTATCCAGCCACCTTCGTGCAGCGGGTGTGAAGGCCTGTCGCCATGCGGTGGCGGTCGTTTGGATTTAGGCGGGGCGAGTTATGGGCGCCACCGTGAGATGCGCACTAGCGACTGCCGTAATTTGGTGCAGCGGGACATGGAAACATGTCTTACGTGACAGAAGACTCATTGCGAAGTGGACTATTGCAAGCCAACCGGCCTCGTACACAGTACGACGCCCAGCCAAAACAACCGCTTTGTAAGCCGAATGCAGGAAACATCGGTTTCCCTTTTCTCTGCAAGCTACAAGTTTTGGGAAAGCCGATAGTTTACCACATCGTTGACACTTGATGATCTGTAGAGGTGCGTCTTCTGAGTGCGGTTGTGTGCCCTTTCGTGCATCCATGCAGGCCATGCAGCAACTAGCCTTAGCCGAGGCGGACGAAATCTTCCGCCTGGCGCAGACGGGCGCCGCCGACGAGGCGGATAGCCCGGCGGCTACACAACAAGACAGCGACGGTGCTGCACTCTTGGGCGACCCATGGGGTGCTCTCTCCCGCTACTGCCGAGCGGCGCTGCACCGGGCCATGGCGGCACTCTACCAGCAGTGCAACGGCGGCGGCGGCGATGGCGACGATGCAGATGACGTTAACGGGATGCGGACTCCGGCATCTGCGGGCCGCAAGAACCGCCGCAGCCGTAGCCGCCTACGCAATGGGTCGGAATCAGGCGGGGAGCAGCCTGCGCCGTCGAAGGCGGCGGCGGAGGCGGAGGCGGAGACACCGGGCGGCGGCGGAGCGGCGGCGGAGGCTGCGCTGAGCGGATTTTTTGAGGTCGTGCCGGTTTTGGAGCTGGCTATGCAGGCGTGTGGCCGCCTTACGGAGCTCGTCTTGGTGCGTCCTCAGGGTGTACGCACTTATTATCTGTAATGTTACAGAGTGGGAGGCTTCTGGGCCGCTTTATCACATTGTCAGTTGTACGATTTATCATCTTATAGCACCATCCACCACTACCACACTATACTTCGCCATACGAACTGTAAGTCCAAGGCGGCGGGTCCAGCCGTCTAGGACCCCTCCTCATCCATTCACCCGAACAACCGAAGAGACGGAGGGTTCGGCAATCGCCACCAATCCAGCGTGCGAATCTGGTCCATCAACTGCGACCTCAACTCCACATCTCAGCAGCTAGCCATAATCTCGCGCTCCCGACTAATTCGGGGGTCTCCCCAGGAATCGAACCCAGGATCTTCAACCGCGAATCGCAGTAGTGTCAACCCAGACCAGACTTATTATCTGAATGGCGTGGCTCGGGGGGCCTACCGGCCGGCTCGTCGGCATCCCGGCTGTTGGACGCAATCCCTCCTCACCCACCTGCCCATTCACCTCGCCTTTCTTTGCTCCTTTACTGAATCGCGTCCCTACGCATCTGTACACGTGTGTACGCGTATGTACGTATGTGCACATGTCACACCCGCTTGTTAGGTCGTGAAGGTTGCTCTTGCCAAACCAACTGCATCCGCCCAGGAAGCAGGAACCCTGTGCTGCACCTCACACAACAACCCCCGCAACAACAGCCCCACGAATACACAAACACACGCGGACGTTTCCTCCTCTCGCACCTCACGCACACACACACACCAGGCGGAGCCCTGCGTGACAGCGCAGCTGGCGGCTCTGCAGTACAGCCAGGGTCTGCTCCGCGTACTCCATGTCGTGCACCAGACCGAGCTCCTCAACATCAGCGGCCAGTACGTCTCCACGGTATCGTGTCTGTGCAACGCCCAGGCTGTGCTGGCGCACACGGTGCTCAGCGGCCTTGCCGACCAGCCGGCCGGCGGCTCACCGCAGCAGCAGACCTGCCTGGCTGCTACTCTCCACGTCCTGCTGGGCCTTGCGCAGCAAATGACGGACGCCGTCCGCAGCTGCGGCGCAGCCGCAGCCGCCAATTGCGATGACGAGGGTCGATCGCCATCGGGCAGGAGGACGGGCGCGGAGGTGGCAGCATCTTCGGAAGAGGGTGCTGATGCGGACATGGGGCCGGGGACGACTGGCGAGGAACGTGAAGGCGAGCTGCCGCCGCCGGGTGTGGCAGTGGAGGCGCTGCTGACTTCCCTGATGCTGCTGCTGTGCCATGGGGCGGTGGAGCCGATACTCAAAGGACCTGTGAGTGGCTGTGGGAAAAAGGTTGCGGATGAAGATGGGCGGGGTGGATGCAGTGAACAGGACAGGACAGCTTCGGGCGCGGGTAAATCCTTCCCTTTGGTATCCGCTGTGCCTGGCATGACCTGGGCCCGGTGCTCAGCTTAGTGTTGGCGATGATGCGCTATGAAAAGAATACCCAGGGCGCGTTTGCGATCCAGGTAGCGGCCAGGGAGTAGATATTGTGGTCTTTGCTGGCGCAGCCGGCGGCTTGTCCGGCCCCGGGAGGTTGCATGGTGACCCGTGGTGCCGAGTGGCCTGGGCAGCTAGGGAGGGGTGGATGTGAAACGGAAGACTAAACCTCCCTCCCCCGTTTTCGATGGTAAAAAATTCTCTTCATGCCGCCACCTTGCCTGATGTTACCTTTCTGACATGACCTGGCGGTCCCTGTGCCCGCCGAGCCTGCCAATCCTTGAGCGCCCCGGCGGTGCGCTACGCGAGTAAGAAGTGCTACAGACGTAACGGTATGTACCCCAACGCAGGTCCGCGCGGGCGCGGCCGTCCTGATCGCCGAGTTGCTCGCGACGACACACCGGGTGAGTCTGACACCGCCGGGCCCTACTCCTTAGGAAGCCTTATTGCATCTGGAGGTCTGTCGACTGGTGGCATGGAAAAGGTCGAATCGAACGTAAACCTTCCGCTAGAGCCTTCTTATCAGATTCGTTTCATGATGTTTGTGGGGACGAAGTACTGCCGTTCTTCTTCATTAGCCGTATCTCGCGACTGGGCGAGGCGCCTGTGCAGCGACGTTGTCCTAATCCTTGCGCAACGCCCTACTCTACATTCAACACGCGGGACGTGTACTCCCTTATCTATACAAACCCCCTCTTCTCGGCCTTTCGGTTCCTCTTTTGGACAGGTCTCCAGCAGCAGCTGGCTGGGCACCCTCTGCCGGTTAGCGGGTCAAGCGTTGGCTAGCGACCCGCGGGTCGCTGTGGAGCTCCAGCAGGTGCTGCTGCGGCCACCTCGAGCCCAGGAGGCGGCGGAGGGCGATGGAGGTGGTGAAGGCGATATAGCTGATGACCGGGGAGCGGACGGGGAGGCTGCAGGTGGCAATGGTGGTGAAGGCGCTGCTGCTGCTGTGCGTCCAGTGCGCCGCCGCGCGCGTGGCATCGGTGGACAGAAGAAGGAGGCAACGGCGGCAGCCACAGCCGCAGCGAAGGCGCTGCAGGACGCATCGGCTAAGGTTTCGGAGCTGCTCCTGCGGGAGAGTCAGGCGGTTGGCACCGTGGCGACGGTGCTGGTGCGTGTGTGTGTGGCGCGCAAGGTACGCGAAGGCAGCAGGGGGGGGCCGGGGGTAAAGCAAAACTCTCTGGGCATTGCTGCTGCTGCTGCTGCTGCATCTGATATTCCCAACCTCCTCTTCCTCGTCCTCCGACAGGTACACGGTCGTGCTATGCTGTTGCTGGCCCGGTTGGCGGGCAAGGCGCTGATCCGTGCAGCCGCCGCGGGCAACTCACCTGGCGAGGAGGAACCGGCCAAAGATGCGGCAACCGGTGACGTTGAGGCCCACGGCTTGATGGCCTTAGGTGCGACCGCCCTCCTTACCTTATGCCAGGCTGCCTGTCCTGACGCCGCCGCGGCGCCGCAACAGAACCATTCGCGCCAGTTGGGTCCACGGGCCCGCTGCGGGGCGCTCGCACAGGAGGCGGCGGCGCAGGCGGCACGCGCAGAGGCGGAGGCGGCCGCCAAGGCCCTGGACGTACTGCAACGTACGGTGGCGGCGGCAGCACCGCCGCCACAAAGCCAGGATAAGCGAGCACAGGCACCAGAGCTGCAGCCGCAGGACGGCAGCATGGGACCGCAAGCTGATAATGACCGGATGGGGGGCGGTGACGACGCCGCGGAGGCGGAGGCCGAGGCAGCGTTAGTGGCGGCGGCGGATCTGCCGATTGGGCTGTTGCAGGCACGACTCCTGGCGAGGCAGCTTGTGAGGGGTTTTGCTGCGCGCTGAAGAGGCGGAGCCGTCGCCGTCACCGCATGCACCCGGCAGCTATGAGCTAGCAGGTCTGGACCTGGACTTGGGGCTGCTGGGTTGAGTGAAGAGGAGGAGGAGGAGAAGGAGGAGGTGGAGGACATTTGGCTGACTTGTGATGCGTACAGTCCTGCTGCCGAACGGGCAGTCGGGGACAGCAGTGGGGCCTAGCCATCCTCCTCCTCCTCTTCTCCTCCTGTTTCCCCAGGAAAGGAGGAGTTGCTTCGAGGCAGCGCGTCTTATTGTTATTGTGGTTTAGAAGGGACTATAAAGGTGTTTTGAGGTGCGCGATGACGAGATGCATCAATATGATTAATGCTGCTTAGTTGAGGTCTGTGCTCTGTGCATGTGAGGACGTGCTTCCCGTGTGCTCCTGCGTGCGTGAACTGCGTGGACTGTCCGTCCGTTGCACAAGCTCCCCATATCCTTTCTATGAGCGGCACGTAACGTGTCTCCTAGTGGCCACGTGACCATTTCGGCATTTGCACAAATATGTGTACGTGTACCGAGATATATGTGCGATTTCGAGCGTGACGTTGCCTTCGCGGATGTCCCTCTCGCGTTGGGACTGAAACAGCTTGTTTGCTGGGAGCAGCACGCAGGTGGTGCACCCGCCCCCGCCTACGACAGCCCCTGGACACCCACGACAAGACACGGAGATGGCTGGAGGTAAAAACGTGGTCAGTTAGTGAGACCTGGCGTCGCACCGCCTGTGGAAAGAATCTGTAGGAAAGATGTCGACAAGTTCAGCAATCTGCCCTAAGCATCATAGTGCGCACGTATATACGTGTTGTGTGTCTGTGCGTGAGTGAGTTACGTGCGTTGAGATGAAGCTGAAGGATACCATGTCATGCACGTTAGTGTGTACGACCTCTAGTTGAAGTAATCCCATGAGCCGTGTGATGAAAAGACGAGTGTGCGAGCGCACACGGCCATTTGCATTAACAGCGAGCCACCATTCATGTTCCAGGAATACACCCCTAAGTGTTAAGATCTTGTGGCACAAGTGCACACGCCATCTATGCATGGCGGAGTGAATCAGACAGAATCACACTTTAAACACTCATGTTTCTGTGCGGTTATCTCAAGAGCTGCCCAATCCGGCATGGTTCCCGTTCGTCCATCGTCCCCGTACTGTACATGAGCTTATGGGGTCTTGTGCATTTTAATGTGTGAAACGTTTGATGGGCGGCTGGGTCCTGCTAGTGTGATGAGCCAAATCCAGTTATAGCCCAGTAGTAAGTACTTTTGAGTGCTGAAGAAGGCGCGTTGATGATCCTGCGGGGCTCTCCGGCCCCATCGCTCCACCGTAAAATGATCCTCCGTTTCCCCCTTTTCTGTAATCCAGCCACCCAGATATCTATTCTCCTGTTCAGGAGAAGCCGAGCTGGTTAGCTTCCTGTGCCTGGACCCACACCTGTCGAGCCCACCACCGAGGGGCTGATTTCTCCCCTTCCCAATCTTGTGCGGTAACTCTCTTAAGCACTCTAAAGTTAATTCGGTCAAAAGTGCAATAAGCCATGGGATAGTTTTACGACCCCGGTTTGCAAGCATCAACACGGAACATGAATTACAGTGGTGGTTTTTGCCGAAGTCTGCGATGGCCAAGGCATCATCAAAACCGATTTCCTCGAACAGCCACCGGTGGAAGCACAAGGACAGTTAAAGCTTTCGCAACAGCTAGGGCATTCTACGCATCGATACTATAAATAAATATTGCCACAGATGCGATGTGGAAAGGGCGCATCACCAAGACCGCTGCTACCGCCCCTGCGCCTTTTTCCAAGACGCGTAGCGCAAGGTGACCTGCGAATGGTCCACTGCCAACCCACGCCGCTCAATAGCACTAACAATCGTCAGCAGTGGATGATGGAAGCGCACAAGTAGATGTGGTTGATGTGATGCCATGTGTTCCGTGGGGCCCCCGGGGGCCCCCGGGGGCGAAACACAGCAGGAGCTGCACTGCTGTTTAGGAGAGCCTTTGTGTTAACAAAACAAACGCACACACATATGCACACACACATACACACACACGCACACACACACACACATACATACACCGTTTACGGGACCGGGGATGTGGTGCCATTCGCGTCCCTAGAATATGAACATGAACACCCCGATGAATTGGCATGACATTGTCTTGATGGCATTGATTTGCATATCCCATATCGCAGAGTACACTGATCCTGTCGTACTTCTTGAAGCTGTGGATGTTCGGGCAGAAACGCCGCAAACACCCGCAAGCCTCCCCCGGCCTCTTCAAAGAGACCGCTAACACCGCAGTTCTTCTGAGTGAGGGGGGGTAATATTTAGGGTTTGACTAACTCAGGGCCCCACCACCACGAGAGCCACCAGGAGGCCATAACGCCACACGAATCCTTGATTGCATCATGTCACACAATTATCCTTTCCGCACTTTCCGTACTTAATCATATAATTTTGTACTTGCACATAGCCTGGCGGGGCATGGCACATTGTTTATGCCCTACCCTGACGATTATTCCCTTTAGTTCCCCTTTAATTCCCCAAAGGGGAAGACGAAGGGGAAGAAGAAGAGCCAGGGGCCCCCTGACATCTTAGACATTAGATCTTTCGTGGATGATAATGATGAACACTTGCAGATGCACATACGCATGGACATGCCTGCCAACAAGCACACCCGCACCCATACACACAGTCTTGCGAGCTGTGCCATCAAGACGTCCAGGAATCAAAGAAACATATCACTTGCAGCGCAGCATCTTGGCTCCACCCACAATCCTAATAAAAAGAACATCCCAAGGACTTCCCACAGCCGAGCAGCCGCCCGCATGCCCACATTATATTAAATCACGGCCCCATTAGCATGACACGAAATAATTTTTAACCAGGTTCACTTCTAAATTAAGTCCCATTACCGCTCCTTGCACACCGACAACAACAGCGCAGCAGCAGGGGCCCCGTCTTTAGTAGACGTCTGCCAGCGTGGAGTTGCGGAAGAAGCGACCGTGGATGCGGCGGGCGATCGCGTACCCAAGCGCCATGCCGTCCTCGTTCGACTTGCGGAAGTGCACGCCCGCGAACACGCGGCTCATGCCCACCTCCAACACTGCGGCCCGGAAGTTGGGGTAGCTACGCACACCTGCACTCGGCGCACTCAGCGAGTCGGAGGTGAAGGGCGTGGAGGCGCCCAGATGCGTCTCCAGGATGTACAGCGCGGCACCTGAGGTGCACATGTGGCTGGAGACGTACTCGGGGTCGATTGGGGTGGTCAGCAGAGGTTCCCAGGCGGGGTCGGCTGCGCGGACGCCGTGATCGGTTTGGATGGCGGTGACGGGGCGCCAGAAGAGCTCCCGGTACTTGACGCGCCAGCTGCGCGGCGAGGGGTGGTGCGGAGAGAAGAGGGTGCATGGCGAGTGAACGGATGGATGGATGGATGGATGGATGGATGGATGGATGGATGGATGGATGGATGGATGGATGGATGGATGGATGGATGGATGGATGGATGGATGGATGGATGGATGGATGGATGGATGGATGGATGGATGGATGGATGGATGGATGGATGGATGGATGGATGGATGGATGGATGGATGGATGGATGGATGGATGGATGGATGGATGGATGGATGGATGGATGGATGGATGGGTAAGGTTCTTTTGTGCTGAAAAGGCATCGGTAGCATCCTCGGAAAAGAAGGAAAGCAGCAGAGAAGCAGCAAGTGCAGGAGAGGGGGCCAACTCCAGGAGGAGTCTGCGTGTGAAAAAAAAACGTCCGGCGTTTCCGGGCGCGCCTTAGCCTCCTGTCAAAAAAACATGTGCACCGTGAATGACCGCAAACTGAGTAGAATCCTCAATGAGGCGGATGCACGTGTGTCTTTTTTGCGTGCGTTGGTTATGGGGGAATGGGGGGGAGCATCAGCTGTGAGAAGTAAGGAAGGGGGACAGAGGCGGCACAAGAAAACACAAGAGGCAGTCCGTGCGATGGCGCGCGTGGACCCCTTACCAGGCGACGGCAGTGTCCCAGAAGCTGGTGGTGAGGAGCTTCAGGAAGCGAGCCTGAACGACAAGTGGTGTGGACTCGGGCAGGGCGTCCAGAGCTACATTGATCCAGAAGCCGGCCAGGGTAGAGGTGCCTGGGGGCGTTTTAAGAAAACAAACCGTGCAGCAAAGTGAGGGGCACCGTATGCGGTACGGTATATGTCGCACTGTGCACACAGGCAGGAGGAGAGCCTTGGGAAGCGCGTAAGCAGAGTCTTACCGTCGCCCTGGGCCCAGAAGTACGCCGAGTTCGTGTCGTACTCCGAGCGGTTCGTGGACGACTTCGAGCCAAGCCAGTAGGTCTGCGAATGTGCAGGGGGCGATGTACGACAACTGTCAAGGCACAGCGAAGGGAAAGGAAAGGGAAAGGAACAGGGAAGGCGCGATGGGCGAAACCAAATCGTCTCGCGCTCTGTCCCAATTTAAGGCTGTTTCATTTCCCAAACTATGCCACCTCAGCTCGTAAAGCAGGAAGGCTTTGTTTTTTGCATTGGTGAACTTTGCTGCTCCCCCACCTGCTCCAGCTGCGCGGCGTATTCGGGGTCGGTAAGAGTGAAGTGCGTGAGCCTGGCCGTGAAGGCGTCTACCTCCTTGCTGGACAAGTAAAAGCCGTTGGCGTTGGCGACCTGGGGGTAATGCACGGCGACCTGCCCGCGAGGATGTGTAAGGGGGGGCGGGGGGAGAGTGCAGGGGAAGGGGGGAGGGGGGAAGGGGGGGAGGGGGATACACTGATGCACAGGTGTGTGTGTGTGTGTGCCGAGGTAAACACAATCCTCGTAAGGCTTTGAAGTCGATAACCTTCGCGCTCTCTCTCACACACACACTCTCAAACTCTCAAACTCTCAAACTCTCTCTCTCTCTCTCACACACACACACACTCTCACACACACACACACACACACACACGCACGCCTTTTATCTGTCTCGCTGTTGGGTATTGAATTTTTAGATTCTCCAAGCGGTATCGAACACACGTCATACAAATGTCGTACACACCTGGCCCGGTGCCAGCCGGAAGACACCCGGGCTAGCAGTGTCACTCGCGGGCTTGAAGTTGGCGAAGAAGCTGCTGCCGTCGCACAGCCTACATGCACATGTTCGTAGATTATGTGAAGATGAGTACGAATATCAAAAATATGAACGTGTGCGCGCACAAAGAAGCAAAGGCGGCAGAAATCAGAAATACACAACAAGAGATGATATGATAGCAAGGAAAAGCATGAGGGAACCATTTTAAGTAATGGCGGAAGCAAGGGCATCCTTGTATTGGGGAACTAGAGCGCAGCGAAGCCATATGTCTGTTCAAACGCGTTTTGACTGAATGCCATCTCCGGGCCGGGAACTTAGACCTGTGTCTGTACATGGAAACGCTGTGGATGTTATCTGTTTTTGTTACAGCAGCAAGAATTAAGCCTTCCAATTTGTATTCCAGGTTAGAGTATGGGTGGTTTTACGCGATCGATGCACTGTCGTTGGCGGGCGCGGGACGCCAGAGCAAATCGTAACGTTTTTCACATTTGAATTCCTACGGCACCGCACTGTATTTATTAAGCACGCATCATCGTGGCTGTTCCTCGCGGTTCCTTTGTTGTTCTGCCCTTTCGTAATAATGGGTTTTTTTCAATGCGGCTGGGCTGGACAACGTCAGTAGAATTTTTTTATCATCTTTAGGCCACACACTCATATAATGGATAGGGACCTATAAGTGATTAAAAATTTACTGGCGAAGCAAAAGCGCTATGCGGCATCGTACATGCCAGGACGGAAGCGCGCACACGTACGGCACCTTTTGTTGATAATCTCCTTGATCATGGGCACCAGGAGCGTCTTGAGCGTCGGCAGCTGACTGTCGCTCACACCAAGGTTTGAAAGCTGATTCGCGAGGATAGGGTCATAGATATAGCTCTGACGCCAGTTAAAAAAAACAGACATGACGAAATGGCTCGCGTAAGCTGCAATTACAGGGTTCAGAGCAAGCAATAAGGAAAGCGCTTAGGGAAAAGAGCAAAAGGAACATAAAAAACGCTTTTACACGGATATTTACATCTCAAACGCAGCAGAGGATAAGCTTATTACGGAACGGTTACGGAACGGGTTTGTATCCGCTCCCGCACAAGGTAAGCAGCGTTCAGCGTTGGATTCAGTTTATTATAACAAACATAACTGTGAAGCGCCAGGCGGATCGGCGGTTCGGAAGAAGCCTAGCTAGCAAGCAGTAATCACATTCGCCCTTTAGGTAAAAAGCTGATACGCAAGCCACCTCACCTGCGGCGGCGTCTTCTGACAATCCCAAAGAGCTGCCTTGCGCAGCCTTGATTGCGTCGTATTGGGCTGCGTGGAGAAAGTGCCGGAAAAAGCGCACCGTAATGGAAAACGGCGTTACGGGACAACAGGGCAGGAGAGATCCCAGAGCAACTCAAGAATGAAAAAATGGCTAAATTTAAAAAAACATTCACCTAGCATTGCATAAAATGAGGTAACGTGGCAACACCAAGAGGCAACGTGGTTTGCCGACAACCCTGCCTCTCTTGCGACATCCTCACCGCTTGCGAGTGTGGCGTAAACACGTGCAGCCTGCTGATGTTCCAGACCGAGGAAGGCGACGCAGCTCTGAGCAACGCCCATCCATTCCGAGACGACACTGCTGACGGCAGCATGGCCTGTAGGAAGTGCAAGGAAGAAGCACACTGCTGTGGCAGCGGCAAGCCATGCCCGAGGAGACGCCACCGTAATGATATTCATTTTCAGTAGCCTTCCAAAATTTCGAATCGATAGAGGCAACCCCCTTGCTTTAGGTGCACGGGTTTAAATCCTAATAGGATCGACGCCGTACTGAAAAGTAGTACGCCAAACTGCGTAGGACGAAAACTGTTGAAAACGTCTTAACTCGATGCATGCTGGCATCCATAACTAGTTGAATGTAAAATCTTATTATGTGTCTATTAAGCCCCAACCCTGCTCCAAGACTCCGGCTGCATAACGTTTGGAGGGCTCGCTGTCAAGCGCCGCCCACCATTAGGCTATGTCGCCGTCGTTGCATATTTTTAATCAAATCAAAAATCCTTGCTCAGTTTAAAAAATCTAATCTAATAGTCAGGTTTGCAATACTCACGTATTTGCGTGAAGTACTTCCGATACCGTAAGCACGTACGAGGTGCCCCACAAAACGGCGTAACGGCTCCTTTTGGAATATGCAATGAGAAACAAGACCAAATCAATTTTAAAAAAGAAGCGGACATCTAAAGTGAGATGCGCTTGATGGATAACGAAACTGACCATTTATGTGCCTTGTTTGGCACACCGACGCCAGCCTTCCATTGCAGGGACTTGCAGAATGAACCAGTGCAGCACACACACGTTAACGTAGTAACAATGCATTTCAAGAGCACAAAGGCAAGGTCGGCTAGGTTTTGGAAGCATCTTAGTCATGTCATGTCGAGAGTTATTAATCCGATATTGTGCGTGCAGGGCAACTTTTTCGATGAGCTCTGCTGGGCATCATCCGCAGTGTGGACGCTAGCTCCAAGTTGGAAAGGGAGAGAATCGATCAACTTTCCTGCACCTTCCTAGACAAAACTATTGTCTTGTCGCCTGCACTCTTTCGGAATCCGTAGTCACGAATATGCTGGGAGTTTTCCTCCGGGACAACTTGCATTTGACACAGATCCCTTTCCTGCGTGGTACTCTCTCTGGTTTAATAGCCTCAAGCAGATGAGCGCACACCTTTTGCCGGCCCGCATCCGCGCGCTCTTTTGCCAATCGTGAGCTGTGTCACTTGTAGTACCAATAGCAACTTCGCAACCCCCCCAAAAATGACACCTGCAGCTTTCTGTGCACAACTTGCTGCATGTCGAGGATGCGCGCCGAAGATCCTGGAGATTTGCCGCGATTCAATGCAGCTTCCTCGATGCTGCTGCAGTCAACCTTAAGATAATATATGGGGCTCAGCTTCCTGCCATGCGTCGAGCTGTTGCCCCTCTCTATCCCATTCTGATTGAAACAACAGGCCCACATTCACTGGCGCCCATCTTCGCGCGCTGTAATACTTTATATATATCCACGACGGGCTGGGACAAAAAGCCTTCCTCGGGCCTTTCACCTTTGATTCCATTTCAACACATCAACAAAGGCGGTTGACTTGTCAGCCAGAAAGGCGAGCGAACAAACATGTCTATTGCAAGAGAAGATGCGTCACATTGCGTCACATTCCGACCCCGCGCCTGATAACGGAAGGACGACGAACAAACATGTCAATAGAGCACAGCAAGGCGACAAAACCCTTAAGAGCTACCAAATGCGCCAAGTGCGACCCCGCTACACCAGTCACTCCCAAGAAGATCAACAGACGGGACGACACCACGCTGCAGTGCACACCACGTCCGAGCCTGAATTCTTATATGAACGAAATCCAGCCAGTTCTCAGCCATGTATTCTTTCCAATACAAATAATCTAGGGTTCCATACTTAAAAATGTGACTTCCCCCTGCGCCCAACCTCGCACATGCCGTACCATGCCGTGCTTATACGATAAACCGCTACCGCCCTCGTGCACACGTTTTTTCAAAGCACACACGACACTTCTTCCCAGTGCTCGCTACAAACGCATTCTACGGTGAGAGCGCGCTCCGAAATGAAACCAACACGAAACGAGACGTAAGGCCCTAACCACTACACGCTTTTTCCTGTTGCCGAACAGCGCCTCACCGAGGGCTCTTTCCCATCGCGCTGCGTCCTGCTCTTACCACCACCGGCACCTCCTCCCCTCTCGACTCTACCTGCGATTGTCAGTCCTTACCTGAGCCTGTGTTTGTATGCTCTAAAACTGTCTCCCCCTCTATTTGTCCTTCAAGCGATCAACACCCCTCTGCACCTCCCCGCCTATCCCACCGTTCTCCACCTGCCGCAATCCCCCCCCAGCACACCTCTCTCCCTCTCGCGACTGCCTCTACCACCTCACGCTCATTTTCACGTTAGCAGCAAGAGCATACACAACGGTCACTCTCTAAGCAACACTTTACGCTTTCTAACCCCCGAACATTCGCCCCGGGCCCCACCATGCATGCACCTCAAACGCTTCCGTCATTTCCCAGCGGACAGAAACCCCGGCACTACCCCCTCACACGCACGGGGTAAGACCCCCCAACCTCATGCCGTACTACTAAGTGCACTTGGACGGGAGCCCTGGAGCCATAGAGCAGTCGTCCAGTTGGAGCCTTTTCCTCCCAAGGGGGACAATCTCGCTCTGCTTCCCTACCTCCCCCTACCTCCCCCACTGTCGGGGGTCTACCAGCTAAAAAGCTGAACTGCTGTTGCTGATGTCGCTGCTGCTGCCGTCGGAACTGCCGGGCGCCTGCACCGCTCATTGCGTTGACGAGCTGCGGCAGAGCATCGCTGCCGTTACTGCCACCACCGCTACCGCTATTGCTAGTGCCGCCATTGCTGCTGTTGACCGAGGGACAC